CGAGTAATATTTCACAGAAAGAGTATGACGACCACATTATTAAAAATAATGAAGCTCGGCAAGCCAAAAAGAATGCTATCGATTCCGCCAAAGATAACGTGGTAGTCATTACGGTGGACGTGCAGAGTGTCTTGCTTGCTCCAAAGGTTTTGGCTAGCGCCCTGTACAACAAGCTTAAATTACAATGCCATAATTTTACTATATATAATTGCAGAACAAAAAAAATAACTATATACTTTTGGCATGAAGCTGATGGGGTGTATCAGCTAACGAATTTACTTCTTGTTTGGTTGATTACATAACGAACTTAGACACGGAAACTGAAAGAGTGATTGTTATATCCGACGGATGTGGCCACCAAAATAGAAATCGAGTGTTGTCCGCTATCCGCAGCTATATTTAGAAAAAAGCCACACGATGATGGAAGCGGACAGTATGCACTCAATAATAGAGCAATACATAAAACCTCCCATATAGGCACCCAGTGATAACATAGCCAGAATGCAACAAGCTCGTCCAAGGAATCCTTATTGTATCAAATCAATCCACTATGACTTTTTCCTTAATTACGAAGAACAGGAAACAAATTTCTAGTCCCGGTAAAGTAGTAGATATAAGTGGCCGCCGGTATTTACCAGATGGGTCAGTGTTACTAAAGTTACGACATAATGAGGAGTGGGCCATCTTACCACAACGAAGAGCACTTTCTCGTAAAACTTTCCTGCCAAAACCTTTGTATCAACAACCGCTTAAAATTACAGAAAGTAAATACAAGCATTTACAAGAACTAAAAGCCGTTGTTGATAAGGACTATCATCCATTTTACGATTCCATTTCATTCAACCCTGGGACACAAAGACTTTGATATAAATTTATGATTTCCTAATTATTTAAAAAAAATTGTTTTTCTAAATGTTCCTGTATATTTGTATCCGTCAAAATTAAAAGACTATTTTTTTTATTATTATATAATTGCTTAGTAAAACAAATAAATAAATAAAAAATGTTTTAATTCATATCCCTTTAAGAACTACTACGTGATCATAAAATTGCAATTGAAATCTCTTATGTGTCGAAAATAAAATTCGATAGGCTTTATGGTTCACTTTATTTATTGTAATACATAAACATTTTTTCCATACATTTAAATGTCAATGTTTATAGGAAATGAAACTATTTTTCCGGATTTAAATCGCGTATATTTGTTTATTCAAACAAACCGACGTTTCAGGCCCTTTACAGGTCCCATGGTCACGGTTGACCGTGAAAAATAGTTTCATTTCCTATGTGTAACAATCGCGAAAACCTAAGAACTCGATATATCAATGTTTATTCAAATAACCAATATAGTAAATATACTCTCCATGAAAATTATACACGAGAAAGTTTTTTTCGTTTTTCTATGAAAGTAACTTTTAACACATAGGAGATATTAAATTTGCAACGACGATATGTCGTCGGTATGGTATAGTCATTGGAACCGCTATTAATCCAATCAACCGAGGTTTAATAGCGGTTCCAGGAGGATTAATAGGAGGAGTTGATATGACTGGCCAGGTAATTATAAGTACATTTACTGATATATCATATATGTCCTGTGTAGCGGGAGCCTTATTCACTAGGTGTTTCAAATATTTGTCGAGTGTGTCTTTTGTAACAGTAGGCAGTATGCAAGTTGGTGGCTGTTGGCTGTTCATCTGCGTTAATAAATATTCGATTGCCTTGTTTTGGTCACTATGTATAGAGAAATTGGCTGCAATAGATAAAAAGTGTTCATTGAAATAGTTTGGTATGTCAGCAATGGGCACATCATACTCATTTTTATCTTTCAAACATGTTATATTTTTCTAGCGGTGGATATCTCATCGTCAACAATTTTCTACACCTCCTTTGATTTATTTGTGCATTCCTGTAGACGTTTATCATTGTATTTTTTATGTCGATTTTATCAATCCAGCGTAATGTTTAACGCACTGATGTAACATTTTATCGTTAGGATATTAACGACGCATTTCATTGTAATTATTAAATTTTTGTGCATACAATTCACTGCTTATCCACGGAATGGCGTTATTCTTTTTAAAAAATATATTTTTTAAAGGAAAATGAACATTTAAATAATATAACATACGAATTAATTTACTGAATTTTTCATTAATGTCCAATGTAATGTCAAATATAAAATTCCAATGTATATTTTTCAATGTCAATATAAAACGAATAATTGAATCTGATCGGAATATTCTATTTTCAATATTCACGTTGTGTGGAATGTTCTCATTAGGACCTGTCTTCAACACATGACGCTGAACGCTGTGATCGCTAATCACGGTGTCAATCGGTGATGCGACTACAATGTCATCGTTATAGGCCACTACACCGCAGTCAATGGAAGTCGAACAGGTTTCGCACACTCGAGTTGCGAAACTATTTATATTTTTTGAGCCATAACTATCTAATAAGTCATCTAGTCTAGTTCTCAAAGGATTTGTAGTCAAATAATCCACATTTAAATCGCCGACCATAATAAACCTTTTGTTTTCGTCAATTAGCTTACTAAACAATAATTCCATTGTAAATAAAAATGTTGTGACATCACTTTCTTCAGTTCGATATGCGGCTATGATTGTAAGTTTTATTTGCAAAATTTCGATAACAGTGAATTCACATTGATACTCAACAACAAGGCTTTGTAGGTCGTTTCTCTGTTTATATAGTAAGTAGTATATATTAAATACATATTAAATAAAAATTAAATAAAAAATAGTAGTATGTATTAAAGCATTGATTTTATTGTGCAAAGTATCTTGTTAATCTTACATACATTATTATTTCCATGGTGTTAACAAATGTTCTGGGGATGACTAGTTCCATGTAATATTTGACTAACATAAATTGGTATAATCTCGCTATGTTTCAATATCTCAAAAAGTCCCAGAGAATCGAAATTAAAAACAAGACAATAATAATAACGCACACACTCAACTTAGCCCCGCACTAGGTAAACCCTGTGTCGCAGGTGCCATGGACACACACACACACAGACAACCACAAAATACGCCTAAATTCCCGAGAGAAAAAAATGTAGGCCATACAAATATTTCTCCCGGCCCGGGAATCGAACATGGGACCTCTGCGTGGCAGTGGTAACCGTTCGGCCACGGAGGCAGTTAACCACTATTAATAACTATTGGAGCTGTTCAGCATTTTGCGTCTTATTGACTTTTTTTTTTTCAACAATCAGTCAATATGTGCATCCACACTTTACACACACACCAGAAGCACTGTAATACCTTGGCAAACCCAAGAACACCCTGAACATGTCATTATATAAGGACGCATACGTCACTGAAAGTCCTTTGGGTGTACCTATCTCATACACTTGCACACTTAAATGTTTTTCTTTTATTTTTGTTCTCATTTCCTTTTTTCCACGGTTCTGCATATTTGCGCTCGCCGAATTTTAGATTTTCAGTACAAATCGGCAATTTCATACTTTAACCCCTATTATTTAGAAACCCTTACTATAATTACTATAATTACTACCAGATACTATAATTTTTAATCTGTTTTTTTTTTGTAAATTCTGCATTTCCTATGATTATTATTTATACCATGATTATTTTTTTCCAAAAATTGATTTCGATGTATTAAATTCCATGATGTATTAAAGGTTACCTAGTTTAAAATCAAGTCAGAAAAAAACATCTAGCTGTCAGCTCTTTCCAAGCCAATAATAAAAAATAGATCTCGTATTGTTCACTGCAGAGGAAGAGCACCTTTATTCTTTTCTATTTCTTGTATAAAGGTTTACTGTCAGTGTTATGAACTCATTGTGTGAGACGACCATATTCTTTGCTACAATATTGTATATGTAGCCTTATACTAAATTCAACCTTATATTGCAAGTCGTTAGAACACCTGTTCCAAAACCATAAGTTAAGATAGTAATAATAGCATCTAAGGAATATTCCTTAGAAGGCTGTAATCACGCATATATACGCGTTACACTTGCGATGATCCAGTATTACGACGTGTAATAAAGTAGTAACCAAGTTATTAAATAGGATTACACTGTCTTTGTCTTATAGAATTTCAAAACGTAAGCAGCAAAAGCCAAGGTGTGTTATTCAAATTTAATCCGTATTTACGCGGCTTTAAAACTAATTACGTTAACTCCTAAAGCTGTGAATTCCGAATATATTTATTAATTGTTATTGTGTTCGTATTAAGATTGTTATGGAAGACGCAGCAGATAACGATTTTAGAACAACCTACACTTCAACCCATTACATGAGAGAGGTCCCATTGTAATCAACAATCTGCTATAGAATATTATTGATCATATTGCGTGTTACAGTGATAAGTTATAAAACGCATAAATAAAAAATCAAAACTGCCGGGAACAAAAACAAATTCAAGGTACTAGGGTAACCTAGTTGCTTATATTTTCAGCGTTAATGCGAGTAACAATGAACACGATAAATAAATTGTAGAAATTAAACATTTCAAAGTTCATCACCATATATGTACGTGCCACTGTTGGGCACAGCTCTAATCTCAGCTCAGGCGAGAGTTTAGGTCTTCACAGGATAGGTTGAGGACTTTACACGTTTTCCGAGGGTTGTGAACCTTCTTCGACGTGCAGATTCATTACGATCACCGAAAAGCTCATGATAAATTCCAAGAAACTCAAACTCTGCTTGAGAGGTAGCCCAAACAATTGTTCACCGCGGCTTCAAATTTCAAATTTAAGTACAATAAATTCAATCAAAATTAAATAAATAACTTCATTAATTTACTACGTACAGTGAAGCTATTGTTATAATTTAAATTAGTTTTAACATAAACATGCAGTCACCGTATTATAAAGATATATTACAAGTACGTGCAAGAAAATCTGATTCCGAACAATTTCAATTATATTTGGTTTTAAAGCCGAAGCATGTAAACATTGTACGTACAATTACACCAGAACAAAGGAACTAATTTATCCTTACTTGATTCCCATTGTTCGTTGATCCTTCACAAGCACAATAACAGTACAAACATTGCTCGGTTAATTTATTAACATAGACGTAGTCTAGAGGCTCAAATACATATGAACACGTCCCCACGCCAACGAGATTTGATAACGCCGCCCTTTATGCTTAACATTTCTACTTGCCATTTCTACAATATAACCGTGACTTGTTAAAATGACCAAGGACGACGTACAATCTCGAAGTTCTTGCGGCTCTTTGCCAGTCAGGCGCGTAATATAAGCGGTTTGTGGGTGGAAAGTGGTCCGTGAACTACCACGACAGGTTTGCAGACTTTGTTGTTTAATTTCCGCAAAAGAGCGGCTAGATCCACTGACTTGTTATAAGATCTTTGTTGCCTACAAAACTTTGACATCTCGGAGACATGTTACAAAACGGTTGCTATTCTATTTGCTTATTACTTTGTTTGCTTTAGTATTTTCTTTGTAGTATACTTCAGAAAGGTATTCTTACACGTTTACCTCAAAATACAAAGAAAAGTTTATCTGTGCTTGCGGCTATGGGCATGCTGGAACTAAGAATACTAGTATTATACTTACGTTTTGATTGCAAAAGTAAAAAAATATAATTATAACCTTTTATAAAAAAAACCGACCTCTAAAGGTTGTTGAATTACGTCTATTTGGGAAGTTTTATTGCAATCGTTTAATGGAAAGTAGGTGAAATCCTATTAACCGGATTCATACCCTAACTTGCTACATATAGAGGTGAAAATATTGTCTTCTAATTTGAATAGGACCACTAACAAGATACCCCCTTTCCAACAAAAAACACAACCGCATCGAGAACGTCCTGGATTTTTGAAGTCGGTTAAAAATAAAAGAAATTTAATAAAATTTAAAAATGACTGAATACACTTAGTCTTTGCGAATTTAGAAAAAAGTAATAAAGTATGTAAATTTAATTGTGAAAATTACCATCCATCAAAACTTTGCTTGCGTCTTTGCGAATCTGGACGATGAAAATGAGCAATGTTTATTTAACATTGAAAGGTTGTAATACAGCAGATGTGTCTATAATTATGTATATTCCATTAATAATCTCAAGATGACATAAGAGGTGGACACAATGCTAATCAACAGCGGCGACAATTTTTACCGATTTCTCTAAAAAGGCAGAAACGTCAAAAGAATGGCCGCGAATACACTACTGATATACCAAGGGCATTACGAATAAAAAATATATCTGAATTTGTGAGTTTTATATGTTTAATAAATAATGAATACCGCCGCTCCCATTCAAAAATTCAAAATGAATCTTCTAAGTCATGGGAAAGGCGAGAGTTCAAAACAAATAAAGTGATTACTAATAATAATAAACCATTTATTTAGCATTTGCAAAAACTATTTTTGATCAATCTCACTATCTTATTTTACTATATAAAAATTAATAAAACTAAAGTCTATTTATATCCCACCGGGCCAATATATTCACAGTTCATTTGGTGGGTGATCATGTACAGCATTTAAGAAAACTGTTAAGAATTTTGGGTATTAGTCAATCAAACTACATGACATTTAATAAATAGGATCTATAAACTACTAGGTACATGATTTATCAGATTTTCGTTAGTCTCAAATTTGAGTTATTTGTGTCAATAATAGAACTATAACATTTTGAAAGACCATGATCCAAGGAATAACGATTTCCTTATATTAGAAAGTTTTTTTTTAATGAAACAAAGTGATGGGAGAGACAAGTCGTGCGTCTAGTGGTAACACGCCTGTCCGTAGCTGCAGTGCCAATCATAGCTTTTAACGCAATGATCTGAGGGAACTGCCACTGCGCCCGTCACTTTGAGACTTAAGTTGACAAATCTCATGTGCCTGTAACTTCACCAGCACTCTTACCCTTCAAAACCAAAACGCAGTAGTGCTCAGATTATTGCTTGTCGGCAGAAATGGGTAAGGTGGAACTCTACCGCTTTAATTACATAATATACATTCATCATATTGTTCGAATGAACCTTAAATTACAAAATGCGGATAAAGGTTGAGGTAAGGTCCTCTTAATTATACCGTATAATTGGAGCTACCGTTCACTGGATTATTAATTAAAAATATGTAATAAATTGGAATGACCAAGCTAACGCACATCTGGCGTAGTAGAAAAATCTCCAACGGTACCAAATCGAGACTAATCAGAACACTAGACTTTTTTATAAATGGCTCAGAATCGCGGAAGATCTAGGCATAAGAACGGAAAAAATAGACGCTTTCGAGATGTGATGTTGGAGAAGAATCCTGAGGTATTTTGGTCACATTATTCACAACCAGACAACCTTGACAAACTGGTTGTGGTGGGTAAAGTGGATGAAAGAGACTCCGCGGTTGATTATCTAGCTGATGGAGCAACCAAGTGACCCTAGATGACCCAAGACTGAGTGGTCTATAGGGTTATAGGGAATAACAACTGCCATTAGAGAGGCTGAATACAGAACCAAATGGAAGAAAATCGTCCATAAATTCTCGAAAACCTTTCAGCAACGAAAAAATAACTAAGAAGAGTTTTAATGTGATGTAAGTTCGTCTTTAGTTTAATATAAGTATAATAAGAGCTAATCCGAAAAATGACGGTCCGAAATGTCACAGGTGTTCGAAGTGTCATTTTATTTCTACGTGGGATGCAATGATGCAAAAATGAATGCAAAAAAGATACAAGCGATATTCGTGACTTAGTGCACAAGCGACATTAGAAGTGGGTCCAAGTTTTCTAGATTTGTATAGTCCCGGATTCGGACGAATACGAATCGGATGCAGGGCATAAACGTGCTAAGCGAATTTACTCAACAGGCGTCTTCTGCATACTGCGGCCCTATACATTGTAATACTGTTTATTATTATCCTTTGAAGTAGCTAACCTTAATCCTGGGCGGCGCATTGCGGTCACGACTCAAACTATTGAAAGCAAGCACTTAATGAATGAACCCCTAACTGGAAAACTACTCTACCGCCTTTATAGTGCCCTGTGATATATAAGAGTGGGTTAGTTTTAGAAATACGATACTTTTGTCTGCTGAATTGATGTCATGAATCACTTGTGTAGCAAAACTATGTTGCAGCGTTGCGACCTATTGAATGTTCTTTATTTAGTTTTCTATTGTCGGTTGGTTTATTGAAACTCCATATTGTTGTAAAATGCAGTCTGCAGGAAGTAGTATTGTTGTTTACATGTGTGTATAGGTATCAAACTTTATCTTCAAAATGAAAAAAATAACCTTTCTAGTCCGATTGATGCTGGTATTAATGAATACAAGATTGTAACTTTATAATAAAAAAAAACCGAGCTCAAAAGTTTACTTTTTTAAGGCTTTTCTATTGGAATCACATTCTTTTGCCAAGTTTATTGAAATCGTTACCGGACAGTGCGCGAAACCGGATTCATGTCCTTGTTTGCCACCCTTAGAGGTGGAATATTTTCTTCAAATTTAAATGAGACAGAGGTTTTCCAATAAAAAAATAACCAACAAAAAAAACACACACACACACACACACACACACACACATGCACACACACACACACACACACACACACACACAAAATGAAGTCGAATTAAGAACCCCCTCCTTATTAGAAGTCGGTTAAAAATGTAGACGATGTGCACTAGTCCACCTGTTACGTCACATCTAGATACACACAAGGCAACTGGTGGATCGACGCCGAAACTAAAGAAGCTTATTCTGTAGTTTGAAAAATATCATGATCAATTTCTCTGCATATGCAATACTTGGGTATCCAAGGTTGTGGATCATTTATACGCCCCACTGCTGGGGCGCACCACATAATTTTATTATTGTTAATTAACGTTAACATAGACGTTATGAATTATGATTAAATTAAGTTTATAAAAACAAAGTATAAGGTATTTATTAGTTGATATCCTTTTAATTGCGTTTCTAAATATTATATCGTGTCTAATCGAATTGATTTCATATAAAAAAAATTATAGTGGAAATATTCCATTAGTTTGTTGTTATAATTATAATAATAATAACGCGCACACACTCATAGTCCCGCGCTAGGGAAACCCTATATCGCGGGTGTCATGGACACACACATAGACAACAACAAATTACACCCAAACTCACGAGAGAAATAAATGTAGGCCATACAAATATATCTCCCGGCACAGGTATCGAACCCGTGATCTCTGCGTGGCAGTCCGGCGTGGTAACTACTCGGCTACAGAGGCAGTTAAAATTAAAGTTTAAATTGACACAAACATCAAACTCAAATAAAAATTACGACCAGTTAAATTTTCGATTTAGGCGAAATAGGTGTTAGGCCCACGCATATATACTCGATAGGCCCACGTGTGAAAATGTCACTGGTTCAAGTCCAAGCAAATCGAAGAAATTTATTTTTGAGTTACAAATATAATAAATAAATATCAAACATTACATACGTTGCTCCAATCCCAAAGTAAGTAACTAAAGCAATAGTGCTATGGAATTTGGAAACAACAACGGTACCACTAGCATCCAGACCCGAGACAATAATAAAGAAAAGCAGGTTTTTCTAAAGCGGGTCTATTTACCTTAGAGATGGCCATGCCATGAAAACCGATATGCATGCCAATCAATCACAGAGGTCGTCACGATTTCGAAGTTAGTTCCGTGTTTGTACCAATTATATTATAATAATGGTTCATTTCATCAACCCACAGGAATAGATCTTACATTAAATAAAGACTAATAATTTTAAATGTTAATAATCTTTGTGAAAGATTAGAGTATATTCAAGACAACTAGACCTATATTACAGCCAGATAGGCCAATCACCCTCTCACGGATGGGGTCAAATAATAAATGGTATTATTGTTTAAAACAAATGTTTTGAGTTAGCCAAAATACCCGCGCGGTATAAGCGATAAAAATAAAAACATTAAAAAAACTAATCAATTTTGTATTGGCCATGTTGATCCACAATATTTTACAGAATTGAGGCTATCAGCGCAACAGTGATGTAAGCCACATTTAATTTTTTTTCATTCACATTTACGTTTCTGCTAATTACTGAAAATCAGAATTTTTTCATGATATTTTGTAGCACTAAAGGATATTTTTT